GAACTGTTCCCGAATTTCGAAATCAGCATGAACGCAGCCTTAAGGATATGGTGCATTCAAAAGAACAGCTTATTTTTTATTTCTATTCTCAGTTGCTGCAACTTTGGTACGCGTGGAGCATCAATATCGCAACCATAGCATTTTTGGCAACCATGTCATCTACAAACTATCTAACGTAACTGTGATAAATGTAAGCAAGTGTAATCAAAATCTTAATAGGAGAAGTAAATTTGCTTTAGGATAAACTGTTGAAGGAGAGAGTCGTGCTGACCAATGCAAGAGTCGTGCTGACTAATGCAACGTCTTGTAAGTGGCCAACACTTGAAAACGGCGTAAAATATCTATTTGGAGGTAAGAAGCAGCTGAAAATATGAGTATGGATAATTCTGATTTCAGGGCGTGGCTATGAACAATATCTTTACGTCGGCAAATGCGGCGTAATCAAAAGATGGGATACGGTTCAGCACAGGATCAATGGCTTAAATTCTGAAACCACATCTTGCGTCATGGAATTACTACGTAAAATTCAAAAATACGAAAAGCCACGGAAAACATACAAAAAGCCATTCCCCCTTCTTTTTCCAACAGTAACTGTCCAGTGAATCCCACTGTCTTCTCAGTATTTGAGTGAAAAGATGTCATTTTTGTTAACTCAACGGAAAGTGCTCTTATAACCGTTTGCATGAATATTCCCGCTGGGAAGGGTGCAGCTGGGAAGGAAGCTTCACATCCTGAAACTCTGAACAATTGATTTCCTGCTATCGACACAACTTTTAAAGGTTTCTATCACCCCTATAAAACGTACCAAATGCTAAGGAAGTGTTGTACAAGTCGTCTCTTCCTGCTTTCTATATTTACCCTGACTAACACCTATAATTTCAGCCATGCGTCTCTATACAATCACTTTCTTAGCATATGAAAAAATCTAAAAGTTGTACTAGTTTTCTCATCCACAGCGTAAAGGTTATCCGAATACTGAGGCTTTCACCAAGTTTCGAAGTGAGGTCTATTTGATAGGATACTTCATTTATTCTTATGGAAAGTGCTTGGGGCTACTGGATTGGGCAATTGGTACAACTCTTTTTACTTTCATGAACTAAAACGAAAAATGATTCACGCTCGATTGCAGGGATCCATTGAATCGTACAAAAAACCCTGAAGCTGGCTTGTACAATACCTTCCCATATTCAGTATGCTTATGGTAAAGGTAAAGGTGGTAGTCACACCTTAGGCATAGACAACATGGAATTTATTTGTCCACGCTCTATGATTACAAACTTTTTTCCAAGCTGTGCTTCCTTCGGCGAGTATCCTGCCCTTAGTCGTAGTGGTCACTTAAAGGGAGTATACGGCAAAATTTAGGAATCATAGCTAAGCTCAAAACTATCTTTTTCACTTTTTTCATCCGTAATCATTTTTGGCATCGTAGTGCGCATCATAATTCTACAACAATGAGGGAATCCGCGAAGTTAAGAGCGCTAAGCTGAACA